TCTTAAGAAAAGAAAATAAACAAATTTCAGCATGATGAATGGTTTTAGATTCCTTTGAGTTCTACTTCACGTGCACGACAGCAGGTCAACAGAATACAGTCCACTAAATATCAACGAGGGAACATACAGACTATAACTGAAAACAATTCAATTTCGTTAATCACAGTTCCAATATATTTAACGTATTGTTTGTGAACGAAGATTTAACTTATTGTTTGTGAACCAAGTGGTATGAGACAACCATGAGACAAGTGGCATATTCTTGAGTTCTTCTGCACCTGACACAGCCAAACAGATATTGAAATTTAAGTGTACAAAATGAAAAGGTGAAGCAAGCCTACATATTACTAATCAGTTTCTGGCTCATAACGTAGAATAATGTTACAGAAAATTTTGTCCAGATATTCGATCTAATATCGATTGTTGTTATTATTTTGTTCATTTCTTTAAAGAAAACTTGTTATGTAAATTAAAAATCAATATTTAATGATGGAAAAATTGCATTAACAACGCAATTTAATTAAATTAAAATTAAATTAAATTGCGTTGTTAATGCAATTTTTCCATCATTAAATATTTGTTCATAATAAGAGTTAAAGTTTTTCCTGACCTCATGCGTTTCCTGAGTTAAAGTTTTTCCTGACCTCCTGCGTTTCCTGAGTTAAAGTTTTTCCTCTCCTTACCTGATGTCTTCATTGTGCAATTGGGAGGCACGTAAGGCTAGCATCGGAAGGTCCAGAGTTTGAGTTCCGATGAACATTGTACATTTTGAAGTTTCCTGTTCCCGAATAAAACGCCTAATGGTCTCTACAGAATAAGTTTTAAGGATAAAATTCAGATGAAAATATTCTAAAGCGTCTAACAATATTTTCCTTAGAAGGTAGAAAAATTCGACAATATTGTTCCAATATTGATTGATATAATAATACCGAGTGATACTGATTACCAGTATTGTTGATACAATAACAATATCTATCAATATTGTTGATGTGCACCAAAAATATCGATAACAATATTTATGACCAACAATATGATACACATCAACAATATTGATTGATATTGCTGATGATGCATTTCAATACTGATTGTTGATGATATCTTTTAATATTTATTGTTGATGATACGTTTCGAAATATATTGATATATTTCATTATTGATATTTCAGTGTTGTTAATCAAACTTCGTTAATTAATCTTATGTTTCAATAATGATTTCATATAGGTTTCAAAAAGGTGCTACGTATGTCGGCACTGAATTCTGTGAGAAAAGATATAAAGTCTAGAAAACTTTACTAACAGATGTAAAATCAGAAATGTATTTTTACGAATATATGCTATTTTTAAATAATCTTTGGCTTACCTTTTGAGGTACCTCTTAAGATGTGAAAAAGATGGGTAAGTGAAAATGAAAGTAATAAAGTGACAAATACTAAACACCAAAATAAAGTAACTTCAACTTCTTGACGATACTCTCTTTCAAATCTTTTAAAAGTGTCCATTTACGATGTTCTAATTTATATGTGCTTTTATTGAACGATATTATTCAAGATTGGGTTTCTGCAATTATACGTTTCTTATAACCATCGGATCTCCGGCACTGATATGTGGACGGTTTCTAGCTGAAGCAATCCATTGCCAAGCTATCATATCTATGGGGGGTAACGAGTAGGGAACAGCTTTCTATATCTCTATCTTGGTAAGGATAAAAAACGGATATATACTGAAAGATTTTCGAGTTGGTCAACCAGTCAGATTTTCTGGAAGCGAAGATTCACAAAAATGTCTTTGAGGGACAAGTCGTTTGAGGTTAATACACGTCAAGCTTTTTGCATCATCGTTTAATATAAGGACATTAATATTTTCCAAAGTTCCTCTCGTTGTATTAGACGTAATCTGATTTATAACTCAAAATCATACATTAATCAAAAACACAATTTATTTATTTACACAGAATAATGATTCATTTTTAAAAAAAACAGAACACACATACATATAGTCACTTAAGTTGAAAAATTTGAACTACAGTACAACTTTGGTTTGCAAAACAATGTCACCAACTTCTTACAAAACGTTTTTAAAATTAAAAAAAGCACGAAGTGTTAATTTTCTACACTTCATTCACAACAGTCTTTAGAATCCTTAAACTATAAAAGCTGTTTGAAAAATCGTCGAAGGCAAACTAGGCTATTCTTCGCCAACAGTTTGGAAAAAATATGAAAGAATCAAACAAATTAAATTATCAAACTCAGTTCATCTTTAGGAACAGTAATGATGATCCTTATCATACTATAAATCTTTTTGAAAAATCCAGTCCGTAATATACAAAATAGGCCAAATAACAAATTAAAATTACAAATTGTTAAATGAATTTGCATAACAATAGCGTGCTCACCAAAACGTTTGGACATTAGTATTGATACTCAGTAATTATGAAAGATGAAAATTTAAAAAGATAAACATTTCCAAATTATAAGATTTATTGGAAATGGCTAAAATAATAGAAAATTAGAAACTTTTGCGATATCTAATTTTTGCCAACCCATGCAAGCAAATAGCAGGTTAAAGAGTTTCTAGAAATCAGAATAAGTTGTTGAAGTATGTAAACGATCGTAAGCAATCTGACATTCTATGATGAGCAACGTCAAAATCAGTGGTAGGCTAGCGGTGTGAAGACCATCGTGGAGGTTGCTTTCGTACGAGATGCTAAGAAACTTTATTACCAATTAAGTTCACGTTTAAATTATTTAAAACTAAGATAATTTTTTACAAATTAACAGTAATTGTTTATGACCCGTATTATTCTAATTACAATCATTGGCGGAACAAGCCCTAATATAGTCCAAGGCCTCAATGCCAATAACCCGAAAATCTAAAATCTTTCTTGACCGTGGGGCTCCGGGGTGCGTAGCAAGTATGCACACTGAACAAAAGAAAATTTCAAGAGGGCATAAATTGGTCAGCTTGTCGCAAAACCCAGGAACCCCAGTGTTTAGTCCCCAAGCAAAAAGAACGAACTTGGTAGTCATACGAAAAACATTTATTGACCCAAGTGATCACGATAAACAACGGAGTCGATGGGAGTAAGATGATTGGGGAAGGGGGACGGCTGGGTAGTCGACTTTGCCCAGCCCGGGAATCGAGCCCTGGACCTATGGTGCTGTTGCGCGATGCGCTAGCCACTGCGCCACCGGGCCTCTTTTATTTCTAATTACTCAGTGGCAACTCGCCTGTTATCATGATAATAATTTTTGCTGTTCACTGCATTATAAATATTTTTATTTTGTATTCCCTTTCTATGTATATTCTTGACTGTAGTGTAAATGGTTAGCACGTCCAGCCAGTAACTGGGAGATCCATGGCTCAAATCCCGGTGAGAGTACAAGCTTTGATGTCTTTTAACTTATCTCTTCCGTTCAACTCCGTAATGATATTCAATGCATATAATCCCAGTGGCAAAGATAAAATTTGTGCAACGTTAATTCATTATACCTTCCTCGAAGGAAAAAAGTATGCATCATTTGCTTACGATGCTTCCAGCGCAGTAACTTTCGATTGTAAAAAATTAAAACTAACAGTTTTTTTTTAAATTTGGTTCACTTGTTGGGGGGAAAATCGTTAGATTCTAGAAGGTGTTTCAAATGGTGTTAATCTTTTTATTGTTGCGTATAATAAAAAAACGTAACACAAAAAACAAGGCAAATTTAAATTCGAAAACACAGTAATACCAATTAGAAAGAATGAAAAAAGAATAAAGCACGAACCTTACCAGTTGGATAATACGAAAACATATTTAGCGCAAAAATCGAAAAAATTCATACACATTTCAAATTTCATGAATCTTCTCAAAATTGGAAAGGGTGTCAGCAAGATGATGTTGTGAAAAATTTGAATAAGTGGAGCTGGAAAACGTGCAGTTGTTTGTCAAGTTCATGGTTCAGGAGGTCTTTTCGACGTTTGTCCCTGTATTATTTCTCTTTCAAAACTAATGATTTTGTTTTCTTTGAATTTTTTGCTTACACTTGGGGCGTGTCCACCCCTTAAAGGGCCCTAACACCATTGGCGTGGGGGGGGGGGTGGGCAAACAACTGTCCCTTGTAAGAACTTCATTCGGGAAAAGATGGTGATACGACATTGAGAGTGATGAATAACACGACGAATATGAGAAAAAACATAAAATAAAAATACTCAAGATGCTACCATAGCACGTTTACAGTCTTCGAAGATCTACTATAGTAACACGCTGGACCAATAACAGCCTCAGGTTAAAAATGGTATATACGGTTGGGATGAGAAGAAAACACGCAGAGGTACAGCTGGAACTTTCTCATTCTTGTCTGTGACTCTCTTGCAAGCGTGCTTGCGATCTGTACTGCAGGGAAGTTCCATGCAAGCTAACGGATTAGGTGGGGCGGAGTGAATGATACAGTCTTCTATTATAAAACAAAAATTCCCATAATTCGATTACCTCTTTGGGGGTTTTCCGTGTGTCGGGGGGGTTTTAAAGATAAAAAAACACAAAAAATAAGTTGCAGTATCATGTCTTTTCCTTGCTATAGAAGTCTTCGTTCTTTCGAGTGGGTCGACACACACTCATGACAATTAACGCTGGAACAATCAGCAACCTTCAGGTTTATTATAACGTACCTGGTATTCGGTTTTCAGTACGGGCACTCGACGATGTGTTCCGCGGATTACCTTTCGGACTCAGTACATTTTCGACGAACGATTGAAAGCGTTTCCCAACCTTTTTTGGCCAAGGCACACTTGCGCGGGGGAAAAAATTGTCACGAGGCCTGGCAGGCCACCCATTAGAAAATTGTTTAAAAATTAACTCTGTGCCTATTTACTATAATAAAGTAATCTCTTGAATAGGAATCAAATAAAGCACAAAGAAAGTATTTTATAATTACTTTAGATTTGAAATATTAAGTCTAACAGAATAGTGAAAAATTATAAAACTTTCAGTGCGAACCTACACAAAACTCTGGAATCGAAGAAAGACTAAACAGTACCATATTTGCCAATCATGCTTGAAAAGCTAATCTCACACAGATATGTAGTGGAAAAAGGGAGCAATGTCAAAATAGCTTTGTTTGCCAGAAGGAGGAACTCCTTGGCAGTATCCAACCAAAAACTGTCCAAAGGTAGATCAGCAAATCTTAGCTTGCAACCACGATTTTGTCTCAGTTCAATTAGTTCCTCCTGCTCCTGTAAAGTCATTTCCTTTCCAACAACTGATGCTGAGCTATAAGGGTCCCTAACCCAGTCAAGGCATTCAGTGGAGACTGAAGAAAAATAAAATGACAACTTCTCCTCAAGAGTTTTTAAATGCTTAACTATTATCTCACACAGTGCAGCAGTGTGAACACCTTGCCATTGCATGGTGAGTGTGAACATTTCAAGATTGCCACCTTCCACGTGTTGATGCCAGAGTTGCACCTTTGAACGGAATCCATTTATTTTATCTGTACTTGTAAGCAGGTTTTCATTTCGGCCTTGCATTCGGGTGTTCAATTCATTCAGATGATGAAATATATCTACCAGGTATGCCAGCCTTGCACACCACTCATCACTTGCAAGCTGCTTTGCGTAATCTGACCCCTCATTTGTCAGAAACACTTTAAGTTCCTCCCACAGCTCATACACACGAACCAAGACCTTGCCACGCGACAACCACCGGACCTCCGTATGAAACAGCAAGGTTTTATGCTTTGCTCCTATCTCCTCACACAAAGCTGCAAATATGCGACTTTTCATGGGTCGTGACTTTACAATGTTTACCATGCGCACAACATCATCCAACACATGAACTAAGGCTGATGGTAAAGTCTTGGCTACGAGGGCCTCGCGGTGTAAAAAACAATGCGTAATAATCACATCTGGATTTCTTTCCTTCACTCTGCTTACAAAGCCTTTGGTGCGCCCGACCATGGCTGCAGCTCCATCGGTGCGGACACTTGTGCAGTTTTCTCACTTAAGTCCTCCTTGTTCAAGGTATTCTGATGTGACCCGAAAAGTTTCTTCTCCTGTTGTTTTTTCTGGCAATACCTTGCAAAAAAAGAAGTTTTCTCTAATTGCATCACCATCAACAAAACGCACATTAGCTAAGAGTTGAGCATGTCCACTGATATCAGTAGACTCGTCAAGTTGCAATGCAAATTTCTCACTGATACGGATCTTTTCCAAAACCACACTTTCGATGTCTGCAGACATGTCATTAATACGTATACGTCTGGAAATTGTGTTGTTTGAGAGAGGGACTTTGGCTATTTCCTTTGCTGCTTCAGGTCCGAGCATCTCCTCTACAATAGCTTTGCAGGCAGGAAGTATTAATGTCTCTGCCACAGTGTGCGACTTTTTTGTCTTGGCTATAAGTTCAGCAACTTGATAGCTAGCTTTAAGAGCTCTTTCATTTACCTTTGTTGTTTTTCTCATAAAAGTTGCCTGTTTCTCTATGTTGTCACGCAGGCGAACAACATAGTCCACATTCTTGTTTTGAAGCAAAGGGTGTTTCGTTTGGAGATGGCGTTTAAGTTTGCTTGGGACCATAACACTGTTAGCTAGCTTTTCACCACACACCACGCACAGTGGAGTTGGTTTGTGTTCATCTCCAGTGAAGTAAATCCAACTGAAATATAGCTTTCGCTATATTGCTTGCGCCAGAGAATTTAACCATCTTTGCTTTCTTTTGACCCCCACTCATACTCGGGCTCTCATCTGGCTCCAGATTTTGTTCAGAGTCCAGTTCTTTCCTTTTCAAAAACTTGTCCATCACTGCAGTATCAGTGTCTCTCTCCTCACAGCAGCCGTTGTCTCTCTGACACTGTGTGAGGCGTCTGCCTGCGTCTCATGGGGGCGGGGACACGGCGGACACTTGTCAAGATTGGCAGGGGGAGGAGTTATAGCACTGCACATCGCCGTGACCACCTTTGACACTGGCGGGGGGAGTGACGGGAGGTGTTATAGCGGGCGAACAGCACCGTGACACCCAGACCCGGCGGCACACCACGGTGCTTCAGACGGCACACTGGTGTGCTGCGGAACAGCGGTTGGGAACCGCTGCACTAAGAGACTCTTTCGGTGCACTGGGCGACCCACTCGGCATTCGCTAACCGACTGTCAACTTGATAGACTCCGCACGGATTGACTAACTCGCTAGACGAGACGCACTGACTCTCAGCGTACCAGCAGGGTTTATATAGCTTTCGGCTTGTGTTCGAGAACATTCTGGGCTAAACCAGTAAGAATTCGTTCCAGAAGGTTCTCCATCCGTCTATGGCATATCGCCAATTTTGTCCCCAAACGGGCGATTTCTCGCCACATGTGGCAACCCTACCTTCCCTAACCATTTTTGGCAACCTTAAACTTGCTTTGCGGGGAAGCTGTCCCACCACGCCTGCCCATTTCCTAACAAAATGAATAATCTAAAACGCTGTTCTTAGGCTATTGTTCATACTATTAGTGTAATAAATAAAAGATATCTCTATAATCGTATATTATATACTTTTGAACACAGTTATATATTTATAATTACAGGAAGTATTATATATTTACGAAATACAATTACCTAATTTTATTACTGAATGCTATTTTCTTTCAGTTAAGGCTAAATGGTATAAATAATAACAAATTTTCCTACAAAATATATTTTCCAACGACCGGCCATTCTCTTGGCCCTACGAATGGTCAGAATGGATCAAAAGAATAGTTTGACATATCAGACACTCCGCTGCTTCGGCATTCCATATAAAAGAATTGTTCTCAATTTGATTCTGATTTGATAGGTTGTACTTCTTGGTTGCTGATTCTGATTAATGTCTACGTCAGATAATGTTTAATGTCAGATAATGTTGTCTAATGACGTCTACGTCTTCCCAAGATAAAGTTCTGAAGAAAATTTCCAAATGTTCTATAACTACCTTACTAGGTTGTCAGGTTAGTTTAATCTGTTAAAATGACAACCCAATAGTAAAAATACACCTTGAAGTCTTCTAAACAATCGTAATTTTTGTTTCAACTATTAACTTTACGTCAGTTACCGCAATAAAACAATAAATATAATTGTGTTATAAAATGTTCGTTGAAACTTTGTTTCGTTAGTAATTTCTTCGAAAAAAGTATAAAATTAGAAATGTTCCAATCACAATTTAGAACACAACGTTTCCTAATAAAATCTTTACTCATGATTCTAAAGTTGGCGCAGATTATGAATTTTCCAAGTCTTTCTGTGCTAGAACTTACATTGCGGGCTTGATACTGCTTTCTCACATCTAGTTATCTACTTGAAATTTCAAGAAAAGATCAAATACAAGTTTGTTGCTGTATTTATGTTTCAGATGCATCATGAATGCACTTCTCACGTGGATAGCTGAAGAGAAAGTGATAGAGCTAGCAATATGAGTAAAAGGTGACAAAATATCGCTTTAAATGGCTCTTTCTTTAAAATAAGAAAAAATATTTCATTCGCAGCTTTTTGTCGTTTTCTCAGTGGTATACCCGTACGACAGCTGTCATAGATGATAAATCATTATTAACTCACAAGGAGGGAGAGTCAGACTCCAATAGAAAGCTGACTTTACTAACCACAGTTCCGATAGGTAGCTTAACTAAAACGGAAATACGGGTTTGTTAGCCATTCATCAACATGGGTAGCTTAAATATTGATTATTTGGCTTCATGGCTATGTATTTATTAAAATTTTGATTCTAGACTTAATAAAACTATACTATTTAAGCAATTTTTAGCAATAATTTTCTAGCATTCTACCTACGAATTAGATTGAGGATGTATTTATCATTAACATATTCATAATTAATCCCATTATGTGCAAAACTTCTAAAGTAAACGAAATTTTTCCAATAAATATGTTGCATTTTTGTGACTTTTGCTTAGGACTTCATAAAACTGCAGTTGTTTCCTGTTCCGTCTATTTAAAGGTACTGCAAGAAGAGATTGTAATCATTTCACTCTCACTTTGTTCTGAAGAACCTTTAAACTTAACATGCTGCATTCAAGCTAGATACTAAAAACCGATAACATTAGGAAAACGAAATTAAATATGTTCCATTATGTAAACATGTACAGAGGACTTGATGCATGAATCTTCAGTCGTATGAGTAACAAGAATGATAATTCATTGAGTCGATTCATCTGCATCGGTTGGATAACAACCTCAACCTATCTTGTTGATGGACGTGGAAGATAAAACCTTTTCCTAAATTAAAGCATAAATAAAGCTAGATGGAATATTTGCTACTATATGAGTCATGAGTCGGATGACTCCTTGGACAGAGTAGATATCATTATATATTTGATTATTCTCATATTGTAGAAATTCTAAAAAAGAATAAATGATCGCAGTTTTTAATATAATGTAAGAAATCAGCATTTGTAGAGAAATCCCGAAGACATGTCGAATATTTTGCGCATGGAAACACTTAATTTATTGAGGAAATCTTTCGTAGTTTATTAAGGCATAATCTAGAAGATGATTAACTTTCAGTCTTTTCAAAGATTTTTTTAAAAATATGTTTGTATACGAGTGTCTTGATGGTCCCATCTTTCTTGCATACTATCAAATATATATTTTTCAAAACTGCTTTCACAGTCATTTTGGACATTGGTAGAATGTATGTAGAGACATTAGGTATTTCGGAAGCAGGCAAGATGAAAAATGAGCAAACGCCTTCGCCGGTAATCGAACCACGGACCTCTGGAATACAGGCTGAGCGTACAGAACCACTACACAACAAAGGCACGCCAAGAATGTGGGAGAAATACCTTATATACTCCCTCTTTTAAAGGGCGACTGGGGTTTTAGGGGACCCAATCACCAAATCCTGGATGGGGAGAAATCCTCCTCCACTACCCTTTTAGTTCGGGTGCCACTGTAGAGACATTAGGATTTCTTTTTTATTCCGGAGAGATGAAAAATTAACAACGCCTTCTCCGTGAATCGAACCACGGACCTCTGGAATACCTTTCCAGCGTGCAGAACCACTACACCACGAAGGCGGGAGATATACCTTATATACTCCCCTTTTTAAAGGACGACTGGGGTTTTTAGGGGATCGCCAAATTTTGGGTGTGGAGAATCTTCATCCAACACCCTATGAGTTCAGGCTCCACTGTAGAGACATTAGGATTTTTTGGAAGCCGGAGAGATTACTTAACCTGTTCCGTGAAACTAAATTAATGGCGCTACAGGGTTAGGAAGTCATCTTAGTCATTGCTAGCAATCTGACGGGTAGGCAGCCATTCTACATTTTACATTAATCTTTAGTTTCTTGGATATAATTATTTTCATTCACTTGCTTCATTATCTCTAAGACGCCTTTGTTGAAGTAATAGTCCGTGAACAGTCTATTCACAGGATATGTGATGTAGTCGGAAGGAGAGAACTGCTGTCGAAGATGCTCTGTCAGAGGGCAGGAGAGCAGGTAATAAAGTGCGTCCGCGTCTTCCCCACGAAAACCGCAAGAACAGTTAACGTCCCGTCTGAGGAATCGTCTGTAATACGCTGGGAATTTCCTGTGGTTGGTACAGGCGTGGAAAAAGAATCGGTTGAATTTGAGCCTCTTGAGAGTAGGTATTGGGAAGATGTAAGTAAATCTTCCTGTCTCGTCTTCCTGACATCGTGATGACCATGTCTCTTGGAATGCTGTCTTGAGGAACCTTTTTGCAACTTCTGCGGAAAGCGGAACTTCCTTGTCAATTTCTGGTTTGAGAGCTGCGGTCTTAGCTTGTTCATCCGCTCAGTCGTTGCCTTTCTGCCCGGTATGTCCTTTTATCCAGTTGGTCAAGGGATGGAGGAGCCTAACGTCAAGAGGATCTAAGTGCGGATGTTTTGGAGGAAAGGAACTGAGCGCATTCAGAACGCTCATGCTATCTGTGAAGAATGAAGTGTGAGCTGCTTGTTGCACACCTAACCA